GGTCTAGTGGAGGTAATTGGCAGCAGGCGGTCTCTCAAGTACCCAGGTCCAATACCATGAAGGGCTTTATAAGTGACGACTAGCGCCTTGAAGTGGGTGAGAGGAGAGAGGAGCGGATGGGCACAAAACCTCTGACCCACCACAAGATTGGCATCGCGCAAGGCAAATGAAAATAGACACAACCGAGATCAGATCCAACCCAGTCAAATGTTCATCTAAATTTTCTTCTCTCTTGAAAGAGAGAAGAATTCTCTCATTCTCATAGAATTATGGGATGTTAGGGATGGAAAGGACCTTGGAGGTCTTCTAGTCCACCACCCCTGGCTAAGATGGGAGTCCTTATAACATCCCGGATAAATCGTTGTTTGATTTTTTTTTCTTGAAAACCTACATCATTTGTCAAATAACAGAATGACAGAGCCGGAAGGGACCTTGGAGGTCTTCTAGTCCAACCCACTGCTCAAGCAGGAGACCCTCTCCCATTTCAGACAAACTTCCGGAGGCAAGTTGTTCCACGGATTAATAGTCCTCACTGTCAGGAAATTTCTCCTTAGTTCTAAGTTGCTTCTCTCCTTGATTGGTTTCCACCCGTTGCTTCTTGTCCTGCCCTCAGGTGCTTTGGAGAATAGCCTGACTCCCTCTTCTTTGGGGCAGCCCCTGAGATATTGGAAGACTGCTATCATACCCTCCCCTAATGCTTCTTTTGCTAAGCTAGACATACCTAGTTCCAACGCAGGAGAAATGTTGGATCAACCTCTGTTTTCCTCTGCCGTTCAGACGTAGGAGATCAATACATCTGAGAGCTTAGTCAACATGGTGTTTATGGGCAACGCCCATCATGGGACCACCATCTAGACTTTTTGGATGGCATCCGGCTGCCCACACCCTCTTTGTAAGCTTCGTTACTTGCCCCAGACACACCTGTTCCTGCTTGCAGACCAGCGCTTCTGTGTAGCTCCTGTAGCTGTTGCCGTTGAGATCTTGCCTGCTACTCTTGACGTAATCTCGGATTATCACCCGGACGTCTTCGATCTTCCGGAGCAAAGTCTTGTGAGCCTTGAAGAGGAATCCCAGGAACGGATAGAAGTTGAACAGCTGTTCGGGATCAAAAGCAGGAAAAGGAGAGGAGAGGAAATATAAGAAAGACAAAGGACAATGCATCTCGGCTTGCAAAGGAGACCATTAAGATCCAGAGTTTTCAGATGCCAGATTTTTGCCGATTCTAACTCGTTCTAATAATTTCCCCCCCATACCTTTTCCAATCTGTTTTTCATTGTTATTGTGGCCTGCCAGCTACCAGTGGAGCTGACGGCAGACTCGGATGATGAGGAGGGTTGGGGAGGAAGATGGGCCGGTCCTGGAATCTGGGGAAGACTCTGAGGAGGGTTCTGCGTCGGAGGCAGAGCGGGTTCTGCGTCGGAGGCAGAGCTTACGGCCCCATTCCAGGGCCGTAAGCCAGTTATCAGCTGCCTTCAGAGTCAGACATCAGTGAGGCAGAAGAACAGCTGGAGCCTGTTCCCAGTGTACGCATGCGCAGAGTTGCCAGAGGAAGGGAGCAGCTAAAGAACAGGGGTCGACTTGGGAGTAAGGCCACAGGTGGACGATGAATGGCCCCTCCCAGAGGAAATAAAAGAGGAGCGAAAGGGGAGTGGAGTTTGCAGGAGACAATTAAAACGCCTAATTGGTTCGTGACTCTCCGAGACTCCTTGCCAAGTTTTGCAGATATTGGCCTGGCAGCTCTCCAAGCCAGATAAGGTCTGTGACTGTAAATCCTTCCCTTGAAAGACTTTGCTGGATGTGAATGAGCAGAATTCACAGTCAATTAATAAAAGGGTTTTTTGTCGGGACAAGGGGAGTG